TAGGCTAGGTTATTGGCAAGAGGTAGAGACTATTTGTTCACATTCATTCTGAAGGCTGAAGTTTCGCCATTTCCCTCAAGCAGGTAACTGAAGGAACTGGCATGGCACAAACTCGACAGTGAGTCTGCAACGGAGTTTTTCACATCATCAAATGAATTGTGAGACGTGTTCTGAGTGGGTTCATCGTAACAGAACTATCTGTCTGTAATGTGCGGAAGCCGTAAGTTAGTGGTTTGTGATCAGTGGAGACAGCGAACCGTTGATCTTATGCGAAACGATGGGAGCGTCCTATGAAGCGTAGGCGACAAGTAGTCGTCGGCTAAAAGTGCCGTGTCCTTCCCAAGCAGACAGCTTTCTGGGAAAGATAGCAAAGGTTATTCATGCATTATTCATAAGTTCTTGTAGGACAGCCCCGATAGCCGTGTTAGATGAATCAACAGAAGCACTGAGACGCAGCCTTACACCCAGAAACACTAACATAGCGGCGTTTGCAACAGCCACCTTGATTTTTTGAACAGTTCATTTGCCTTTGGAGTCAATTTTAGTGTTTCGCACTTAACCTTCAGAATACCCATTAATGCAGTTAAAGTACGAGAACATTGAAGGAAAAACAGACCCTAGAAATAATCTCATGGAAGCTGCTGTCGGGGAGCTTTGTATCCCATGCCCTTTTTCATGTTACAGCTGAATACTATGTTCGTCAATCAAGGAGTGGATGCCAACTTGATACTTGACAAGACCGACTTCATTCGTACGTTGTGACAGTTTGTTGAATACCCAGTGTATGTGATTACAGTGAGTCTCTTCATCTGGACTATCGGTCAGGATTTGGGAGAAATCCAGCCCACCCAAGATATCATGAATGAGTCGTTGGAATATCTGCACGGAATCGCGCAGACCACAAGGCATGTGAAGAAACTCAGGGAAAACCGAAAGGCCCAATGGTTACTGTATCTGGAACATTATCAGGGTAAACTAGGATCTGATGATAAGCACTTGTCTGATCAAACTTACAGAATACAGATGTGCCTTTTAAAGAAGCAGTCAGAGTGTGCACTTGTGGAACTGGCTAGTGACCTGAGACTGTTTGGGTGTTGAACCTTCGGCAATCACCACATAGTCTCAACTACATGCCAGTGTTTCTGAGCAAAATATGTAGCCGTGTAACTCCATGAACTAATGGGTGTCTGTTCATCCTTATCTCAAGCATGTGTTTAAACTCAGTCTTTCTCAGAGCAGAACCCCCATGGTTTAGCGAATTCAAGAGGACCAGTCGTCGTGATGTAATTGGGTTTGAAAGCATCTAGAAAATTTTCGATGATGTAGGCCTAAGGACCGAAGTGTCAGGGCTGGAATGCACTGGGCTGAGAGATGGCTTCTGTGTGATAATACCGGAGACGGATAGTTGTGTATTGAAGCCAATCAACGTATTCATACTAGCATCCACCAGAATCTGATTATGCTGTGAAGGATCCACGCGAATAATGCAAATGGTCACACAGACTACGATCGAAACTCAGAGGAAAGAATGGAGAAGTTCAGTAATGAAGCGGGGGAGTTTTCTTTCATTTACTGTGAAGGGCGAACAGTTGGTGACACCATCTTCCGCTGCTGATAGGGTCAAGCTAGCTTTTTCGAGAGGTAGTTCGCCATAGACGTTAGTCACCACCACGTGCTGGCCTAAACGTTTCTTACCTGGTTTGTGTCAGAGGTACAAGGATGAGTGAACTTCCGAGCATCAGCACCATAATGTCTACGGTACCGGCAGAACGTGACAAGGATCTGCTTCGAAGGGGAGGCGCATCATTATGGAACAGACTTCTAGATGTATCTCTTCCCTAACACTACACAACTCCCTGTAAAGCTTAGTTGTGACAGCCACCACGTTGATATCCCACTAGTTGGAGCAGGTTTTTGTAATGGTCATAGCCAGTGGACAGTCCAGCCAAGTGCATGGTCTGGTAGCCTCTACAGCTCTGTCAGCTGCCTTTAAAATTCTATTTAAGTTGAAATGTGAAAAAATGACAGGATTTCCGGAATCGTTTAAAGCAATCTTCACAGCCACAGCTGTTTAAGAAAGGCACCATCAATTCTGGAATTAACTACTAGCTGTTCCACCTAGTGAAGCATCTGGGCAGACCAACATTCGCTAAAGTGAAAACATAGAAAGAGTTCTTGCACCTTTTTAGGTCCATAAGTGTAACTCTGTTAATTACGACTGCCTTCAGACAACTGTACGGGTTCGGGGAGTGATTGCCAAGGACGTCGGAAGCTTCCTCAGCTATGTTTTCAGGAAAATCATAATAATTAAGTTGGACTTAATTTCTTCCGGGTGAATAAACCGTGGGACGAACTGTTAACCAGGAACAAAAAAGCTGGTTTTCTTAGGCATGTCGGTGCCTTTAATTGTGAGTATGAACGCTTTAAAATGATATCTGTCACGGGTGTTCAATTCAAAGCACAAATACTCATTTCCAATCTATAGTCCCCTAAGTTTGCCTATACGGAAATTGGGCTGCTGAACTGCCTACAACCACAGCCGATTGTAACTCTAAAGAACATCGTTTCAGAATACCAGCTACTGGTTAACCTTCAGTTTGATATCAGTTCAGTCCAATCTGGACGGCAGGGTGGTCTCAGACCAATGCATTTCACCAGACTTCTCAAACCGCCACATCAGCTTGTGGCCAAAACACCCCCGATACTATGTCGACCGAAACGACTCCTCCGTTGTTCTGCTGGCATTGTGGTGCTTTGCAATTTGTCAAACCTTGTCCATATAGAAGCGACCGATGCCAAGTGTTTAATACATTCGGTCAAAAGAACCGATTTTGGCAGCTGTACACGTGACATCCACATTCGCCATCCTCGGGAAGCTGGCGCAGACACCGTTTCCAATCAACAAGTAAATCTCTCATTCCGGTAGCTGCTGCTTATTTACAGCCATCTGCTCGCCAAAAATTTATCAACGTCTGGGTGAAAAATCACTCAGTACAGCTACAGATTGACACAGCATCCGATATCACCATTATACCCAAAAACCTCGGTTTAGAGATCGGACAACTCCCTATTCATAAGACATTACAAACTGATACCAGTGCATATGGTGGGTGGTTATCGCTAAGAGGGAAGTTCTGTCTCACAATTTCTCTCCATAGCACCACTATGAATGCATTTTGCTACCTCACTGATGTCAATGTAAGTCTTCTGGCTCTCGATTAGTTCGACAGTCTTGAATTATCAGACTAACTTATAAATGTCATTCGTAACCAAATCCAAAACTCGTATACGGTTTCTGATATCAGTCAACATATCCCAAATGTCTTCAAGCCCGGTCTTGGTTGTGCCACAGCTTCTCACTCACTGATGGAGGGGGAGGCCACTGCTGCGCAAGTTATTTTGATACCAAAACTATCTGCAGCTGAGTTGTTAGAACCCCGAAAATCCCTCTGCGTAGGGACAATTGTGTTCTTTGGAGTACAAACACAGTAAATGGACAGAAGGATTGGCCAGTGGCAGACGCGGTAATATCATGTATGACATCACAGTAAGAACAGACGTGTAGACGTGACACAAGAGCCAACTGCGACGGCAAATGCCTCTCAACAAAAAGATAACTACCAGAGGTTTCCCAGTAGGTATAATACTGGATACATTTGGAATACAATGCAAAAAGCTATGGTACCTACAGACAACAACGAACCACTCTCCCAAACCTGGTCAGCCAGACACAAGGAACAAATTGTTTGGTCCCAGGTTGACTAAAAGTAAAAATTCTCTTCTAAGGAGGAAGGTGATATGTGGATCGACAACTTGTCTAGAAAATTATGTGCATATATTTAAAATTGTTTCTTTGCGTAAACATACTTTTCCGACTCACCTAGTGTTCTCGATCAAGTAGTGAGCTGGAAAATTAAGTGGCCCTTGTATAATGTTGGTGGCCAACAAGCGATACTCGTGATGAACGCGTCTACTACCGGCTCTTGCGTTCCTAGCAATTCAACCAAACGTTGAGAAATATGAAACCGTCAATCCTAACTTCTGCGAATTCGCAATTTTTAATGCCGTCGCCAGCCGATTTCGTTGGTGACTGTTTTTGCTCACACACCGAATCTGGCAGACCCCACTAGCCAGTGGTATGATCTACGAAAAAACACAAAGTAGGTCTGCTGCCTAGCTCATTTCTGACCCCAGCCTTATCCCCATCATCCGATTGCAAAATGACTTTCAGTACTACTGTAACGACAGAAAACAAGGGCCAGGCAACAGATTGTTTATTGAGAAAATCAACAGATATTTATAGATTTTTAAATACATTATTATTAGCGTTATTGTTAGCAGAGAAACAACGTCTTCTGATTGGTTGTTTTCCTGCTGAAGGTTATTCTGTTATCTCTTTGTGGCCGTTTCTAGACACTACGTTGATATATCTGCTAATCGTATCCACCCATGCTAAGTTTGCTGTGATTGGTTATTGAGTTAGTCTTTGTTCTCTTTTTTCTCATGACCAAGATTTGGGACGTAAATATTGACGTAAATTGCTGTCTAACATTCTTGGCTAGCAGACAGCTCTCACCACACTACTACAGCCTATAGGGAGACAACTCCATTATGGATAAGATTTCATTTTGATAAATAACACAGTGTTATACAGTAATATTAACAATTAATATACTCTACCACAGTGTCCAGGTTTTATACTTATATAGGGAGACAAATCTCACGATGTATTTTGGATGTCCAATACTGCTAGAAACTAAAATTCATTCATGGGCTATTGGATTCCATCCTAAAGACCAAATGGTCACCATGCTACACAATGTATAACCTAAAGGCTCTGAAGTTCATCAATTCCCGTACTGTTAAGCATTCCGGAAATGGAACAAAACACACTTGTTCAGCAAAATACACCCTAATTTTCAATAGAATCGTTTAACTGGAGAGATATCAGTCAGTTAGTGATGAATAAATAAACCAGTTAGAATTTTATTAACTTCATTCTCAAGAATAGATATTTTATTTTTTCTAAATATATATACAAATATACAAAACAAAAGTTTATAACAATTCTTAACATGATGATGTATGTGGTATACACAACAGTCAGAACAGGAGAGAGAAAGAGAGGGATAGAATGGAAGCGAATGAACGCTGGCAAGTGAAAGTGACACAAAAGACAAAATTATATTATAAAACTAAAGAAAACAATTGAACTTTGAACAATAATAATAATAACAAACTATATTATCATCATCAGAGAAACAAGAAAAAAACAAACAACTTATTTTCATCTAAATAATCTCATGAAAGAAAACATAACGAAAACAAAACCAAAACAAACAAACGAACGAACAAACAAATGTGTCGTGTGTCGTCTGTCTCTGTGTGTATTTATTTATTATGATGTGAAGAGAAGAAGAAGGAATTTAGTCATTTTCAATTAATTCTAAGTCAAGATCAATGAAAGAAGATGAAATCTGTTTACTACTGTTATTATTATTATTATCATTCCCACTAATATTATTATTATTATCATTATTATTACTACTATTATTTAACTCATTAATTGGGATATCAGAAAAAATACGTTGTCTATTGGGCATTTGAGGTGAAAGAATAGTCTCCATATCATCAGATTCCCCATCAGAGTTTGAACCATCAATCGGTGAAGGTGTAAAAAGGATAACTTGTCGACCAGTAGCATCATCCGTATCATGTTGTGGATTGTGTACAGGAATTCCTGTTGACAGTAGTTGTGGTGAAGGTGGACAAATCGGTGTAAATGTAATATCATGAATTGATGGAGGAGAGGTCAATGGGATTTCAGGATGATGCCAACTGACCTCGGATACATGATTACTACTACAGACACTGCCAACACCACCTTCATCAATCATAGTTTCAGGTGTTTCATGTTCTTTTTCATCTTCAATCATTTCAGAAAGTTTACCCAACTCACTACATGCGTAACGATGAGAATGTTGATGTTGGTGATGATGATTATGAGTGAAGCTGTCGTCAAGGAATACACCGGATGAATATTCGCATTCTTGTCCATAATTAACAATATTACACGGCTGAAAGTATACACACAAAAAGGATACAACATTAATTGAATTATTATTATTATTATCATTATTATTATTATTAAAAAAAAAGATAACTCTCAAAAGGTTAAAGACGAAATAAATAACATAGAAGGAAATATGGGAGTTAAATTCCAAACAAATCAATATCAAATAATAGCTAGGCATGAGTAACACGTGTCCTAAACATCTCAGTCGATATAACTTCACAACCTCGTCAACTGATTTCCCCTCCTTACCTGGCACTCGACGCCTAACCTCAATATTGCTCACCCTATTATACCATTTCACACGGGAGATAGAACGCAGGCACCTTTGATCAAAGACAACTAGCCAACCTTTTCATGTCTTCCACTTTCAATGGCCAGGTCTCACAGCCATAAAGGAGGACGGAGCGGACTGCTGAGCAGTACACCCGCCCTTTGGTCGATAGCCGGATATCACGTCTACGCCAGAGACGGCGTAAACTGGCATATGCGAAACTAGCCTCCTGTATCCGTGCTGAGATTTTGTCAGCGATCAACCCGCTGGCATTGGCTGACGCAACTTCCCAAATAAGTGAAGCGGTCAACGTGCTCGACCACTTCACTCCCTATTTCTAAACTAGGAATCAGTGTAGTCCAGTTCTGTAACATTATCTTACATTTGGCGGGAGCGAATCGCATGCCAAACATTCGTAGATTGCAGCTCAAGGTGTTCAGAAGACTGCATTTTGTCAGCGTCCTCGCCTAGAAGGACTATATCATCTGCATATTCTAAGTCAACGAGATTATTCCCTGGTAGCAAGTCAATCCCTGAGTCTCTGAAGTGAGTTAGGGTTAAGTCCATTAGTACATCTATGATGAAATTGAATAGAAATGGGGATAATGGGCATACCTGACGGACACCACTAGTCGTCACCACTTCAGATGACAACTCGCCGTAAGCCCTCATCTGGCTTCATGAGTTCGAGTAGAGTGCCTTGATCAGTGCGATATATTTTCTCGGCATTCCTTTCACAGCCAAGCATCGCCAGAGAACCTCTCGGTCGACAGAATCGAATGCCGCCTTTAGGTCAAGAAATACAACGATTGTTAGGCGCCGGTAAGAATGCCTATGTTCTAGAATCTGTCGAAGGGTGGAGATATGATCAATACACCCTCTTCCTGATCTAAAGCCTGCCTGGTTCTCTCGTGTTTGTGCCTCCCGAGCACCACTTAGTCTACGCAATATTATTGAGCCTAGGACTTTAGATACTATATTAGTCAAGCTAATCCCTCTATGATTATCACAGGAAGATTTGTCTCCCTTCTTGTATATGGGGATAATCAGAGTCTCTTGTCTTCTACTGTTACCCTACTACTCATTTAAGTAGGCATTACTATTAGAATAAGAACTTTAAAAAGTGTATGATAAACTTAGCAATAAAAACTTACATTACACTTGATCGTATCTTCATGTGATCCAGTATGAGATGGATTGATTAACTCCATAGGACAATAATCACGTATCGTTTCTGTATTATTATTATTACTATTACTATCATTATAATCAACATTTATAGGATGCATTGTATTCGAATGTGTACAACGTTTAATTAACGTTGAAGTATTCTGTTCATCATCCCTATTACCATCAGTGTTATTGGTGAAATCAGCTTCAATAAGTGTTGGATCATCTTGATGAACACATGTTTCAGGCATACATAAATGTCTCGATGAATATGAAGAAGATGTAGACGAGAAAATTGACGTGGGTGGATAGTGTTCCGAAAAAGAAAACAGTGAATGTTGTAATTCATGACAAGAACAACAAACTGTTGTAGATAATCTGCAATTACTACTGGTATTATTATTATTATTGTCATTTAATGTTGTATTCAATAGTGCTGAAGATATATTACGTAAGTGATCATCATTATTGCTGGGCACTTGATCTGTACTTCTCTTCCAATAGTAACATCCACATGGGAATATATCATCGTGTATTTGTTCTTTCTCTTCTTCATGTGAATTATTATCATGTACTTCATCAAAGCATTCAGTACATTCACCGCTTGGTCCACGTCTACGTTTCAACCCAGTTGTTGTCATGGCGCTGGAAGGCGTTGACTGGTTGTTGTTGTTGTTATTATCATTATTACTACTGATAATGTTAGTAGTAGTCGGAGTAAGACTTGTACAAGCTAAAGGTGTACATAATGATCGATAATTATTCTGTCTACTAATATGACTGTCATTATTATTATTATGATTATTATTGGAACAGTGAATTAAATGTTTACAATTCATATTATCATAGATTGTATTATCATTTGGTTGAGAACAACATCGTAGGGTACATTTCATCGATTGTAAAGAACAACTACTACTATTACTATCATCATTACTACTGTTACTACTATTACTTCCACTACTACTGATATTTCTCATTGTCTGATGTAATCCCTCATTATTATTTTTATTATTATTATTATCGTGATTCATATTGAATTCATTCTCTTCTAATTTGAAACATGGTTCCAAATCAGTTAATTGATTCGATGAATGAGTATAAAGATTTGATGAGAATTTCTTATCATCAATTGACATTTTCCCGTGATTCTTTCTACCACTATGATGATGGTGGTGGTGGTGACGATGATGGTCATGATGAGGATGATGATGATGACGGAGATGAGGTCGTTGATGTTGATGACATTGGCAATGACAATAACTTGTATTTGGCATAGAATCTGATGGTACTACACCAAACTATATTAAGAGATAGATAGAAATAAATTATTCAATTAAATCATAATCAATTTTGTGTATACAGTACAGACAATAATGAAAAATCTAAAAGAAAAACTATCTAAGTTTATGTGATAGAATTTAAACAAGTGATTATGATGACTGGTAGGACAGACAAACTTCTTAGTTAACCATAAAGTCATGATTTATCCATGCGCTAATGTGATGGCCTGATTGGACAGTTTCTGATTCGTTTATTTATGGCTTAATTTTCTAAGGGATTATGATGTCACACAATCAATCCGATTTATTTATTTACTGCTTAAATTCCTGAGGCTTTTTAAACACGAAATGGTATGTACTTTGTCTAATAAACTTTGTCATGGTTGACTGACTTTTGTGTCTACCTTAGTGTGAGCGATAATTCCAAGTGATCAGTTGGTTGCAACGTCGTGTTCTGGAGGCACATTCTAGTCAAGTTGTAACGACAGAAGACAAGGGCCAGGCAACAGATCGTCTACTGAGAAAATCAACAGATATTTATAGATTTTTATGTACATTATTATTAGCGTTATTGTTAGCAGAGAAGCAACGTCTTCTGATTGGTTGTTTTCTTGCTGAAGGTTATTCTGTACTGCTTATGGCCGTTTCTTAGAAAGTTAGGCCGTATATATGCAAATCGTATTTGCACACATTAAGTCTGCTGTGATTGGTTGGTGAGTTCCTCAAGGTTAAGCTTTGTTATTGTTTTTTCTCATGACCCTGATTCGGGACGTAAATTGCTGTCTACAATTTTGGCTAGCAGACAGCTTTCACCACAAAGTCAAACAAACTCACAACTCAGTATCCCTCCATCATAACAATTACCTAACTGCTTAACTTACAAGAAACATCTACTACTATTCATTAGATCTTAGCTCCTCATACAAAGGATTATCTTGATTAGTTTGAACAGAAAGAGAGAACGAATAGATTTGCAGGAGAAAAAGAGACCTTATTTTGTTTAATTCAAGACTTTTCAGCAGCAGCTAACACATACTTTGAAATTATTTTAACTCAAAGGGCACAACTGTGCAATAAGAAATATGGTTAGATAAACAAACTTGATTGGTTGTTTGACCTCAAAAAACTGAGCCATAAACAAACTAATCAGAAACTGTCCAATCAACTTGTCATGGGTATGCATTCATGAATCACGACTTCACGGTTAACACAGAAGTTTTTTCCGTCTTAACGCTCCCCTATTTTGATGTAGTTGTGTTCACTGAGTTGGATGGTTTCTTTGTGAAGCTTTCATTGCCCTACTAGGCAACATCTTCAATGCAAACTTCAATTTGAAGTGAGCTTGAGCTTAGAGAACACAACTACATCATAATCATCCACCGAAATCTGCTCCCCTATTTTTTAATAAGTCTTCAAATGGAGGACCACTGGGTGTACTTTTTGTCTATGATAGCATATATTTTCGCTCTGATTAACAGAATAATAACAAGATGTTTCGTGGGTGGAACCATTGTGGTGTACAGTAAATATTCCAGATTCATGATCATAAAAGCAGGTATATCATTCTTACTAACCGGTAATATACGCTACTACATTTATTTTAATGCATCAAATACAAATTAGACATAGTACATAATAAACCTAGTAAAAGTTTTTCCGTACAAACAATCGACTGATTCAATTTCATGCAAAAACAGTTCTTGGCTAAAAGTTGAACTGAACATTAAAAAATACTACTTAAATACATATCAGTAGTTTAAAAACTAACGTAAATAAATTTCATCCTGAATACAGCGAGAAGAATACATTGATCGGGAAAAAACGATGTCGTTATATTTCGTTGGCTCTTGTCAGCTGCATACAACCATGAACAATTTAGTATCAATATACAAAATATTCAAATACTGTAATTATTGATCGTAAAGATGGTGGATATCATTATCACGTGATTAAGAATCGTGTTGGTTTTCGACATAGAACTTTGCACATATGTGAGGCAGTTCAAGTCGTCACACTCAGTGTACCACACAAAGCAAGAGAAGAAAGTATGAGAAATGCATAATATAGACAGTAACAGAGGTGTGAGACAAAGGAATAAAAATTATTGGAAATAATCAATGGATGCATCTGCGCCACTGATAACGATTTTGAGCCATGTCACCAATTGTTTCCAACCATTGGTTTTTACCGTCCCGAGGACCCCAATGATTAGGAATCATAATGGAAAAGAATAAAAGCCGTTGTTAAGCTTGTTAGTATGTATAGAAATAGTATGCAAATATTATGGAATAAAGAACGAATGTTAGGAATTGAATAGAGGCATAAAATCAATGCATTTAGGTAACTGTCAAATAATTTACTTCAGCAGAAGTCAAAAAAGGGTCTGGTAAAGAATATAGATAAAGGCAAAATTAGATTAGAAAATCACACTGTCAAAACAAAATATGATTAAAATGGAGAAGTTAACAAAATAATAAGATTGAGTAAAGTATATTTATTAATGTAAGGCAAGACTGTCAACGGTGTCCTTCCGGATGCATAAATTCGGTTGCAATAATCACTTAGGGGTAACCGCCTAAATGATACGTAACCGCAACTTGAAGCTGTATCGAAGTTTAATTATCTTATAGGATTTTGATGCATTGATTTCATGACCACTGCATAACAGATGGTCATCAGTAGTTCTAGTGACGACTTTTACACCTTTCAGGTGTGATTTTCTTGGAATATTCTAAGATATGCAGTCCGATGTATGTGCTTAACACGTACATGCTCATTGGCATATGCAGTTGTAGGCCAATAAAGTTACGATTCACAGAATACATTCTTGTTCTGTAGTCTATTGTATCTTCCCGTAAATTCATGCTCTTGTTCTTCCTTATACTTTTACTAGACATCATATCTTCCTTTCTCCTCCAGAATCTTCACTAACCGATTGGAAATCGGCAATTGACAGAAGATAGTATTCATCGGCCTTTCAGTGATACCTCCCCCCTTTAATAGCTGAATGGTCAACTGGTACGCCTCGTAACCCTGAGGTCTTGGGTTCGATTCTCGGTGGAATCATGGGTGTAGACTTTTGAAGAGTCCTGAAACGGTACCAAACAGCTGTTCAGTGCTCCCTGACTTCCACAATTTTCCTAACTGATGATGTTAATCCACGATTTAACGTGAAATTCTTATTTTCCTTTTCAACTTGACGCGATATATACTACTGATATGTATATTCCTGATCAAACACACATGTTCGACTACGAGACAGTACAATTTTTATATCGGTAGGTGGCAATGAGAAATCTTTAAGAAAAGAAATTAAGTATACCAAGAAATCACAGACAATATTGCAATCAAAAATACAAAAAGGAACAAAACTAAGTCCTCACTTACCCTTGAACAATCTGGTAAACTAGACGCCTCAGATAATCCAGAAAATGATGCTTCATGAAATCCTGACGAAGGAGTTCGAGCAGTCATTTGTACTGATGAGGAGATAGACCCACCAGTAGCAGGGGATAACGAAAAACTCGATGAATTGACATCGATTGGAAAACTACCAAATGATGCACGAGTTGGAGTGAACGCTGATGATGGACTACAAAGATTTTAGAAAAAAAATATTGTGAAAGGTTTCGATAATTACTTTAAATACAATTAATATACGAAGAAAAATTAGTTATAAAAGTATCCATCAAGAGACTGTATAGCAGTTCGCTTTGTCATCTTTCATAACTGTGAAATACAGCTAACGAAAACAAAAGACATAAAGACTAGCTGCCTTTGACCAAAGATGTCTGAGTTCCATCTGCTGTTGTTTTAAGTGGCATAATATAATGATTAATATTTAGTCTAGGCGTAGTGTTAGGTAAGTGGGGTAAGTGAATCGATTGAGATGGCTACGCCACGAGTCAGGCGTGGTGAACCACCCGGCTTCCTAGTTGAGCAATCTTGGCTGATATAGAATAAGGCTGGAAAATACTAAGAAATGGTTAAATTAAAAGGTGGCAAGTCTTCGATTGTCAGTTTTAGGTGAATACTACGCTGCCTGGTTGAAGACTTCAAGATGGCTGGAGATTACGGGTGATATTGCTCAAAATCGTTCTCAATGGAGCAGATGCACTCATTGTAGTCTACCAGATCCATAAAGTCTTCAACGAAAAAAACTGAAAGACGATCATACTGCTCAATTCTGACGGGTATTACTGTTTATTACGAAACTTTAAATCCCCTAGGAGTTCTTGTCAATGCATCACATGATGCTGATAGTTATCATTACATAATCGAGTTCAAAAAACAGATCGACAAAGCAGTTTTCAAACATGAAAATCACCTGATCTGTCATTTAGTGTAACATCCTTAGTGGTGGAGCTATATATGCATAGCTGCTACTAAAGAATTCCAGACGAGGGTGAAACAACTCT